TCTTCTCGGAGCTCCCTAGTTAGAACCGGCCTTATACATCTACTATCTTGAATTAATTGAATTTCAAGATTTTGAAAATTACCTTTGATATTTTTAAACATGAATTATTACTATTGAATAGAGAATTGTTATAACTCTTGTGTTGCCTGTCAGTTTGATATTCACGAGTCATAGAACGTGATTATCATTATTATTATTATTTTATCATGCCTCACTTATAACCCTCTGCGAATTCAATCGTTTGTTGACGTATTGTTTTATTTTTGAACTGAATTTTGAACAAGGTTATTCTTGATATTTGTGCTGAGCCGTTGCAGTAAATACATTGTACGAATTTAATAAAATATTGTATTAAATAATTATCAAACCTAAGTCATCCCTTCTCTGATTATTGCATTGAGAGACATTAATAGATTAATATTCTATTAAAATAGAACATGAGCTGAAACAGCTGAAATCACGACATGGAAGGACAAGCTAGTTCTTCAATACCTGTAAGTGCTGAATGAGTGTTATAACTACCCCTTCGCGTAAGCTTTTATAATTAAACTCGAGTTGTTTGATCGTGTTTTAATCGCACGCGATATTATTATTCGACAGATTGTGGTTGCTTAATTGAAAGTTACCGGTATCCATTTAGAAGTAAATTATATTTTTGTTTAAATTCTTGTTGATGCATTTCTTTTCCTTGCGGTTCGGCTTAGCGAGCGAGAGTATCTGCGCTTTAAGAGCCAAAACTGCCCCTTTTCTTTAAAGTTCGGCTTAGCGAGCGAGAGTATCAGCGCTTTAAGAGCTAACTTCCCCTCTTTGCATTATCCTACAGAATACCAAAAGGAAACACCGATCAGGCAGGAAACAACGAGAAAAGGTTGAAAGAGCAAAACTTAAAGCTGAGCTGGGAATACCCCACATTAGAGAACTTCCATTAGCCATTCGTGAAAGACCAGTAGAGCCTATTGCAATTGTTAAACCAATAATTCGGCCACCGGTACAACAGCCAGCACCACAACCTGGACGACTCCGCGTTCCAAATAGACCGGATGTCATTACTGTCGACTTAACTGAAGATGAAGCTGACCGGGTTCAGCCTTTGTTACCGCAACTACAACCATTAAATCTGCAATATCATCTTCATCCTCTTAATCCGCGAATTTTTCCGCGAATAATTAACATTCAAACTATTCGTGCCCCCCTTTAAATTCTTCCCCCTGTCGATCCGGAAATTGACATTGCAGACGTAGATACTTTAAATTATAGCGACATTAATAACCCGCCAATAGAGTTAGACAATCCGCAAATTCAAGATCAAGAAGAACCTTTTAATACAATAGAAGACAATAATGCCGCTATTCGTCGCTTTTTATTAACTATTGGCCCGAATGATTTGGCTGAAGCCTCAACCAGCACACAGAATTGATAAAATAAAGTATTCGTAAATTTTGAAACACGTGTAACGTCCGCCGCCAGTACTACGTCGCCGAACGTTTTTGCCTAACACGCTAGATGGCGCCACCCACCCTATTTTGCGCTTTTACTGTCATACAATATGATTTATTTCAATACTTTGGTTTTATGCTTTAAAATAATTTTTATTCAAAGGGAAAAGCAAAGAAACCCTTATCTATATTGATATCCAACTTTATAATGAAACAGATATCTTAATTTCCGCGATCATTATATACGCGATCGCAAGACAACTCTAATATTTTATTCTTTTGTTCAGGGTAAATAAACCCTTCTCTTAATATAATAATAATATAATAATCTATCATATAGTCACATTTAACCACTCATGCTTAAGCGTTTCTCTGTATTCATCTATATAGCGCTATGAATTTGCCTCATTATTTTAAGATATATATATATTCAACTTTCATATAACTAAATTCATCCCCATAGTATAATTTCTTAGTAAGTATACTTGCGTAACATAGTTTTAGTTGCGAGCGATCTTCTTTTCTTATTTTTGTAAAAGGAAGTCTCAACGGATTTATATAGACACTTTCTACAAGGATTCCGTTAAGATTTCATAATAGAAACAACATCTGTACACCACATGGAAAGTCATAAACCCGGCTATTGTTTAACCCGCTTCTACGACCGGCATGGACT